AAAAAAAAAACGAAAAGAAAAAGGAAAAAACAAATTTGTTTCTTAAAGACGTTTTCGATCCCACATGGCAGAGCGGGTCCCGAGTGCCTGGTATAAATAATACACGATGTGATGAATTTCACACAAGGTGTTAGTCTTTAGTGCTTAGGGTCCGGCTAATCATCTCCCTCATTGGTGGACCGGGTGCCCATCCAGTTGGATGGGTGCCCCGTTTTGATGGTACTTTTTTATTTTTTCCATGGTTTCTTGTCACAATTAGCGTGACGCATGGCTCCCGCTCAATTAAAGTCTTCAATGAACTAAATGAGCGGGAGTTTTCAAGTACAAGAAAAATCCCCAAAATACTATCTAAGTAAGAAAAAACCTTTCATAAGTATATTAGGAATCTCAAAAAAAGATGTCGATTCAYWTTATAACGTTCTATTTCGAGCACCTTTGGTTTCTTGTCACACTTAGCGTGACGCTCGGCTCCCGCTCAATTAAGGTCTTCGATGCACTAAATGAGGGTGAGTTTTAAAATGTACAAACAAATCCCAAAAATACTATCTAAGAATTAAAAAATCTTTTGTAATTTTATTAGCAATCTATAAAAAAAGATGTCGATTCAATATTGTAACGTTCTATTTCGAGCAGCTTTAGTTTCTTGCCACACTTAGCGTGACGCAGGCTCCCGCTCAATTAAGGTCTTCGATGCAAAAAATGAGCTACTCTGCGAATAGAGCATTTACAAAAAAATTTACAAAAAAAGAATTACAAGCGCGCGCCTGCATCGGAGTTGACTATCCCCTCCTGAGATCTGTATTCTTCAATACTTTCCTTATTTTTTATCTTCATGGTAATGACTTTTGTGGGGTGCACCCCCTCCTGAGAGTCCTGCACCCCCCCCTCCCTGACGAAAATCCTGGATCCGCCCCTGTAGCTGCATGAGTAAAGTTACGCCATCATGAAAATGGCCTATATGCAGCACTGTCATATGGAAGACCAACGAAATCTTTTGGATTTCTTTTTGTTTGTTTTTTACTATTTGTTGGATGCCTGTGTACACAGGAAACCCAAACCCTCACATTCAGTTCAAAATATAATCAACCTGTTTAACTCTACCTTTTTTACTAATG